GCTATGGCTCAGATGCAGCGGTGTCTATTCGCTATGTAATTATTAGCCAGCTGCCAGGATGCATTACGAATAATATCTGTTGGCTATTGACATTACTTAAACTAAAAAAAATAAGTGCAGATGATTTTTGCCAAAGCTCAGCTGCAGGGCACGCAATAAGAGTGCTTCTGAGCAGGTAAGATAAGGTAAACTCACACACACACATCCACGCACACACACACTCACGCACACACACACAGTCATATTCGCACTCATAAGCAGCGCTTGCAACTGGCACGCATTGCGCGCTTGAAATAGCAGAAAAATGTTTGCATTTTCTAGCGTAGCATTTATCCATTGCGCCAGTCTGCGATCCAAGACTGAGACTCCGGCTGAGGAGGAGAGTCTCAGTTTTTGCCGTTTCCCGTTCCGCGCTGATGGCTGTCAGTGGCTATAATTGAAGCCCCTAGTTGTCGGAGCGGATGCGGGCGGATGGCGTACGGCGTACGATGGACGTCGGATGGCGCATGGAGGTAATGTAGCTAAGGCAAGGAAAGCAACAATCAAATAGCAGAGCAAACTGCAACTGAAATTACAACCCAGGGCATTCGCCAGAGTGCAGAGAGCAGCTGCCATTGCCTCAAATAAGATATAAGAGCCAAGATATAACTCGAGAGCAGCCAACTAAAGCGAAATAAGCCAAGCAAAATATGCGCAGGGCTCCATGAGTCTATGAGTGTATAAGTGTGTGTGTGTGTGTGTGTGTGTGCGTGTGCGTATGCTGGTGTGCAGAGCAAATGTTGCAATAAATTGCTTGCAGCCAGGTGAAATTAATTGGAAAGATATTTTAGCTATTTTAGCTGCTACCCAAATTCCTTTGGCTGGCTATTGAAAACTTAATTAAGACTATGCAAATACTTAGTCGTCTTCTGCATTTCCCGCACGTGCAGCTAATTAAGCTCGATGTTCTTTTCCATGCACATGTTGTTCGAAGCAAAAACCCAAACAATTTGTGCTAAATTATGCATACGTTGGGTACGCCACGCCCCCAAAGAGCCGACAGCCTCTTGGCCGCATCTCACATGACAGTGAGAGTCGTTGGCCTGAAGCCGTCTTGGCTCGTTAGCCAACGGAAAGCCGACATCTGAGCCTGTCAGAGCTCGGCGACAAAAGCAAAGTCAATGTGAAAGGTAGTCGATGAATAAATATTCATTTGAGTGAATTATGAAAACAAATACTTGCTGTTGTGGCAGCCACAGGAAAAACTTGGACTTGGCAATTTGATCAAATAATAATATGCCATTAGGTAAATTATGGAATCAAGTGAGGGGGATTGGGCAGTCATTCAAATATTGCGCATACGCCATGTGCTGCACACTTGAGTTTTAGTTAATGCATTTTTCAACTAAACCTGACTTCGATTAGCTTGCTAAAAAATTCATTAAAAACTTTTAGCGAGCGACAGGCAGACAGCCGGAGAGAGTCAGGATTGCGGAGTGGGCGGAGCTGGCTGTCTTGGCGGCTCCCTAAGCAGCCGAGTTGAATATTTTATAAACTGTCGTTAGTGGCTGCTACGGCTCGGGCCACACACAGCTTTTTGCCAGGTCATACAATTTGTTGCAAGCTGAGAAAAAAATAAGGAAAACGTGGCACGAGAAAAGAAAAACGAAAAACGAGAAATACGAGAAACAGGAGTAGCAAATCTCTGGTATAAGTTGCGACTGAGACTGGAAAATGGCTGCTTCGTGTTGATGGCGACGTCTGCGCCCGCAGGGAGCATCAGGCACAACAACAGCAACAGCGGTAAATAGAGGCGACGTGGCCTGAGCCTGGCCTCGCTTGGGTTGGCCAAGATGGATGGCCAAATATTTAGTGGGAGGTCAGCTAGTTGCAGTTGTCAACCAGCAGGTGAGCAGGTGGACAGG